GATTTCTTTATGCCAAATCTGTCGTCAGAATAGTATCTATCTGAACAGATCTATTTGTGTGCCATCTACGTCATTTTCTGGCATTATTTAGATCTGTCATAAATAATCATACTTGATATTATTTATGGACTAAGATTCCAATGGGGATAGGAAGTGTTGCAGATAGCCTTATTTTTGTTACACTTTGGCTTCGTCATTCTCTAATTTAACTGCTTATGCTTTTTGTAATTTTTTGTTTCAGGATGCAGGATATGAGACAATAATGATGAATTCGAATCCTGAGACAGTATCTACAGATTATGATACAAGTGACCGTCTCTACTTTGAACCCCTAACAGTTGAGGATGTTCTAAATGTGATTGATTTAGAACGTCCTGATGGCATAATTGTACAGTTTGGAGGCCAAACACCTCTGAAGTTGGCCCTTCCTGTCAAGCAGTACTTAGATGAGCACAGGCCTACGAGTTCCACCGGTGCTGGACCTGTATCCATATGGGGTACATCCCCAGATTCCATAGATGCAGCTGAGGACCGAGAGAAGTTCAACGCAATGCTTAAGGAGTTGAACATTGAACAGCCAAAAGGTGGCATTGCTAAGAGTGAAGCTGATGCTCTCGCGATTGCAAAGGATATAGGTTACCCTGTTGTTGTCCGGCCTTCATATGTCTTGGGTGGTCGTGCAATGGAGATTGTGTATGATGATGAAAAGCTTGTAACCTATTTGGAGAATGCTGTTGAAGTTGACCCCAACCGTCCTGTGCTGATTGACAAGTATTTATCAGATGCCATTGAGATTGATGTCGATGCACTTGCTGATTCTTATGGGAATGTGGTAATTGGTGGAATAATGGAGCACATTGAGCAGGCTGGTGTCCACTCTGGTGACTCTGCCTGCATGCTTCCCACACAGACTGTCCCATCTTCTTGCTTGGAAACTATAAGATCATGGACTACAAAGTTGGCAAGGAGGTTGAATGTATGTGGACTAATGAATTGTCAGTATGCAATCACATTATCGGGAGATGTTTTCTTGCTAGAGGCGAATCCCCGAGCTTCTCGTACTGTCCCATTCGTATCCAAGGCAATAGGTCATCCACTTGCTAAATATGCGGCTCTTGTGATGTCTGGGAAGGCACTTCAAGACCTAAAGTTCACAAAAGAGCTTATCCCACAACATGTGGCAGTGAAAGAAGCTGTCTTTCCATTTGAGAAGTTCCAGGGCTGCGATGTCTTGTTAGGGCCTGAGATGAGAAGCACCGGTGAGGTTATGAGTATTGGTTTTGTATTTGCCATTGCATTTGCCATGGCCCAAATTGCCGCTGGGCAGAAGCTACCACTTACTGGCACAGTGTTTATCAGCTTAAATGACTTGACAAAGCCCCACTTAGAGAAGATTGCAAAGGCTTTCTTAGGGCTAGGATTCAAGATTGTTTCGACTTCTGGGACTGCTCATTTTCTTGAATTAAAAGGTATTCCAGTGGAGCGAGTGCTGAAGATGCATGAAGGGCGGCCACATGCAGCTGATTTGGTTGCTAACGGGCAAATTCACTTAATGGTCATCACAAGCTCTGGTGATGCACTTGATCAAATTGATGGTCGTCAACTGAGAAGGATGGCTCTTGCTTACAAGGTTCCTATAATAACGACAGTTGCTGGGGCTCTGGCCACTGCTGAGGCAATAAAGAGCTTGAAATCAAGTACAATTAAAATGATTGCCCTTCAGGACTTCTTTAACATTGAGTCAAAACTAGAGAGCAGTAAAGACCTGCAGTCACTGTCTTCTTCACCATAAATTGAGTAGGCATTTTTGGGTAAGTAGTGGTGTTTATTTTCTTTTTCACTTGATGCCTTCTGCTGGTATGCCCACTAGTAATACTTGGAAATGGTCTGACTTTCTTCTTACCAGTTATTTCTATCATCTTCTCTCTTTGTTTTTGTCCATGTATGAGCTCATAATAAGTATTAAAACAAAGAACGTAGTGTAAGAAAAATTTTTGAACATTCAAAATTTTAATGCTTGTCTGAACGCATCGGTCAGTCTATTTTTTTGTGTCATATTCCAAAAATTATTGGTAATTTCAACATTTTTTCCAATGCCCTCATAAATCATCAAATATGTCTTCCCCACAGAGAAAAGTTAAGATAAACTATTTTGGCTGAACATCTTAACTACATGATTGAAGTATTAAAGATGACAATATTCAAATTTTAGGATGGTTTAGATTTTTTATGATATAAAAGTGAATGAACTTGAAGAAGAACGGCTCTTGTATGAGTAACTTCATTCTTTCTCATCCCACTTTTCTGAAAATGTATTGAATTTAGAAAATTACTGTCTCCCTGAGTCCATTTTTCCATACTTTCTTGTCATATTAATCAAAAGTTGTCTTTCTTTTTCTTTTTCTTTTTTAATTACTGTAACTTGAGGATTCTTTTAATAGAAAAAGAAATTTCATTCAAGCATCAAGGCGATTCCACCCATGTACCAAAAGGGTATACAGAAGAGAGAGCAATATATACAGATATTATTTACACCGCTCGAGAACAAATGAAAGCTAAAAATTAGTTTGTGGATAGACTGATAGAATTTTGGAAACCATGCTTAATACCACCATTTGCTTCTAGTTGGTTCTAATCCTTGCCCAAGGGTTTTGATTATTTACTCCTACTTAAAAAAGATTGATAATAGGAAGTGCTAAACTAAAACTTTCTAGGTTTCCATCATTGAACTCTAGCATCTATCTGAAATTTTATTTCGAAGGGTGTAAAATGGTTAAGACTATTTTGAAAAAGAAAATAGTCTGGGTGGAATTAAGTCAACTGGCGAACCAAGATTTTTACAGGCCAAACAACTGCTTGGCGTCGGTGCAACATTGAAATAAAAAAAAAAAAAGGCCCTTTAACTAACTGTGGTAACCCCCATGATCATCACTAACAGATTCCCGGAGCAAAAATTAGTTTAGCCCATAATTTGTGATAATCTTGTATCTGAGTACTGTTCTGATTGTTCATCTGCATCAATGTTTTCCCATCTTCTGTAATTTTTGGATTTCCTCACTTGCCAAATTTCTAGATTGCCTACAGTTTGGGACAGTTTCAATACTACTTTTCTGTGAAGAGGTGCATTTGTTCGATCAGTCATTAGGAGAACAAAATTTCTAGGGTGGTACAGTTTTTATTGTGTATAAAGTCTCATCATGTATTATTTTTGTATGGAAAGAGAGTAAATTTTTTATGACATGCTGATAGAAGTTTCCTAGATAAACTTACTACTTGGAAAATATTTGCTTGTTATAAGTTTCTTGGTCTTTTTGGATGCATGTGCTTGACGGCGTATGATTCCCACTCTTTTTACAGCAAACTGTTTGAGAAGGGTCGTTGCCTCAAGAAGAGATGGATGTACGACCAAATTATGTACGTGGTGTTTTAGAAGCCATTGCATCCAAGTGCTATGAGAATGAGAGCAACTACAAGAATGTGATTTAACCAATAGAGGCAGAATTTAGGGTGGCGTTTTTTAATGAGTTGTCTCTGAAATGTTGTGTGTTAAAAAATCAGAGACATTCAGTTGTGTATAATCGTGAACCCAATAATTATTGTCAAGAAATTAACCCTAATAAACATTCAGGATGTTTGAATTTGGATTTATATTATCGTTCATCAACATCATTGAAAAGTAGTAGTTTCAGATGGCAGAGGAGACAAATAAATCAGAGCTTCAATGATTTCATGAGTTTCAATAGCAGGAATGGATACATATATATTTATATATATATATATACACACGCGTATGTAGTATCGTTTTCTTTTTTAAATAAAAATTGAAATCAAAAATAAAAATGAAATCTAAATACTAACTATAAATCTATTACATAAAAATAAGAAATTAAATATTTTTCATTCAAAATTTAAAGTAAAAGAATAAAAATTAACATGATAATTATACTTACACATATATATTATGTTAGGATAAAGTTTTAAATATTATATATTTAAAATTTGAAATATAAAAATAAAATTTAATTTTTGATCAATTACAAATTATAATTTTAATTTAATTAATTATAATTTATGTATTATATAATTAACTTTTAAAATTATGATTCGTGTACAAAAAGAATAGAGAACTAGTTAATTTTCAAAGCATATCAATAAGTAAATAATATCCAAATTTAACTGCAACAGTAAATATATGTGAATACTGTATACAAACTCTAAATAATAGTGAAAACATTCTGTGAATTGAAGTTATAATTTTAGTCATCTTTCTCACTATCTATTTACAAATTATGTTTTTATTTTCTTTAAGTTACACATATTTTTCCTTATCTTCTCTGTTACAGTAACATTTTTTAGTAAATCTTAAGAAACACGTTTGCAAATTTTGGCAATTCCATCTGATCAAAGATTCTTAACATATTCCATCCCTGTTAGGGCAGTACAATAACACCCCTTACCAGTAGTAGTAATAAGTACAACAATAACATAACATACCTAACAGGTTTCGTCCATACAGCGGGATTTTTGCCATGCTGGTGTGAAGTCCCTCCATGGCAAGGTAGTAACTTTCAAACTCCCAAAAACTACTTAGACGGCCAAAGTCAAAACTGAAAAGAGAATAGTTGATATGAAGATGATGAGTTATTTTAGTTGAGAGTTCTTAACAACCATCAATGAGATAGTTGACAGGATTCTATCTCGAAGCGGCTCTTGCACTCATAGAAGAATGGTAGGTGGTGCTTCTCTGTTTCCGATACGAAGTATAAACATCATCATATTGACTTGCCTCATTTGGATTAGCTGTTGCCCCAAGTCCTAATCTTCCTGAGCCACTTGATCCTGGTTTCCGGTCTACGCTTCCATCAGCAAAGGTTCCAGTTTCTGGGTCCACCTGAAGGTTAGGTGGTGGAGGGATACAAGCCCCTCCCTTGCGAACCGGGCGCTCCCTTTCATATTCATCATCTTCATCCTTCGAATCAGAGTTCATGGGACCTTCAGATGGATTAATCTCTCCAATTTCTTTAAAAAACTTCGATACCCTCTCAAGGACTTCTGAGGGTGATATACTGGATGGTGGTATAACTGTTGGGATGTCCAAAGGACTTAAGGGGGAGTACGGCACCCCACTACCTATCTGCATCTTTCTGACCATCCCAGGAATCAGACCGGGTGGGAACAGGGGGTATGGTGGCAATTTTTCACCAACATTTGAGGCTGGTGGTGGCAATTGGCTTGCTGGCTGGACAGAAGAATCTATTGGCAATGACCCAGGAAAAGGACCAGAAACTGAATTTGGGAAAAATTGCTGGTTTACCATAGGTGGTGGCATGGATAAGGGCATTTGTTTCTCAGTATGTTCTTGATCCATGACACTTGCAACAGAACCTACCTTATCAGGTTGCCATTGTGAGACATTATGGTTTGTTGGCTGCTGCGTCATCCCTGCACAAGAAAAGAACACTACAAAATTTCAGCAATGAATTTTATTGCTCTTGACATCGTGACTTAAGTCCCAATCTTTTTCTTCCCTTCATGTGAGTGCATTTAGAGATAAAGTTACCTGCAGACGTCAAGGAATCTGCTGCTTCTCTTGAAGGCCCAGTAAACACATTGGTTTGTGGTCCACCCTTCATCTCACCCTCAAGGGCATAAATAGTGTCCTGATCAAAAACTTCCTTTGAAGCCCAGAACTGTAGAATTTTCTGCAATCGTGGCTGATTTTCCTCATTCTGAGGGTTGTGGTAAATCCTAGAAAGCATGGGACCTAAAACAGGTTTGAATGCAAGAGCTTCATTATCAAGTTCATTAGGGTTCATCCGCCTCTGCAAACTGAATATCAAGGGAGCTAAGGTCAAGGAGGATCAGAAGGAAAAAGAATGACAGAATCCAGAGATACATCCCATCCCACAAAATTGAACAAAGAATGATCAACTATGTTATATCCTTTTCTCTTTTTGAACTTCAATGGAAAAAAAAAACAGTTAAATATGGAACTAAATGAACAGATCCGCAGAAATTTGTTTTCCCCTTGACTCTTTTTGCTTAATCATATAATACCAATGCAATTCATACTTTATGAAGATTCAATTGTTTACTCGGATCAAATGCATAGCAATCAGTAATTTGCCCAAGTCCAGGCAAAATGTCCTAAATCACTCTGCAGTTTCTTCTTTAAACCATGAGGAAATAACAAAGTAATTTTTTCCAAGGCCTTTATCTATATTGCATATGTAAGGAAGACATTTTTTAAGGCCTTCCTTATCTTTGGTTTGTTCTAACTTCTAATGGTAATCGACAGATTCTAACTTCTAACAGTAATGATTCAGTAGGAGGGTGGTTTTTGGGGAAAGGAGAGAAGATAAACTTTATGGTATTATAATAAGAATTTACGCAACCAAAAGAACTTTAGAGATGAAAAAAAAAGGAACTCCACACACTAGCAGTGCAACCCAAGAAATAGATAAATGGTGTTACCATTGACAAACAACTGAAACAAGTACCTGTCAAATAGAATATCATTGGCAAGGTATATTATATGCAATTGCCTCTCAGAATCATCCAACGTAAAGACTCTATCCCTAAGTCCCTCCGCCAAAGCTGGTGCAAAGGGAGCTCTCTGCATGAACCAAATCTTGGCACTTTTAATTGACTCTTTGGTTCCGTTAAGATTAGTAAGTACATTGCTAAGCTCCATTGCAACATCAGAAGGGAGTGGACCAGCCAGACCTTTGTAGGAACTAGACTGATCATAATCTGTACGACCCTGGCCAGCAAAAGGATGAAGACGCTGTTGCTGATCATAGAATGGTGGAAATGGAGGTTGATGCATTTGAGGGGCACCAATAGCCCCAACAGCAGCAGGTGCAGCATTAATAGGAGGAGCATGTAGAGGAGAAGGATTCATCATGGGATTTTGTGAGGGATGCATCACAGGTAGAGAAGATGGTGGAAAAGAGAGATTAAAGGGGCCACCAGAGGGTCGTGCAGATAACCAGAGCTTGTATCGGTAGTAGCCATGGCCTTCACCCCCAAAGAGAAAGCCATAGTCAGGATTATCTTGTTGTTTCTCACGGATCATGGCTTCAAATTCTGGACCATTCTTTGTGGCATACTCAACAAGCTTGTCAATGCGTTTTTGGAGCTCAGGATCGGATGGGGGAGCAGCTGGGGGTGGAGCAGAATCATATGGACCAAGAAAAGGAGAAGGAATAAGGTGAGGGGGAACATGTGAAGGGAAAGCTGGCGGCGGCTGCTGCTGCTGTTGCTGCTGCTGGAGACTAAACATCTGTTGATGGGAAGGAGGATGAGGGTGAAGCGGTGGTTGCTGTGGCATGTGGTGATGGTAGGGGAATTGTTGGAGAGAAGGATGCGGGCCCATGAAATGCGGAGGGAATTGTTGATGTTGTGTATGAAATCCATACTGTTGCTGCTGTTGAATATTATGTGGTGGCCTCTGCTGTTGAGCATATGCCATCGCAGAAGCTGCTGCATAATCATGAAGCCGACGATCCATAAATAGCTCTAATAAAATCTACTGAAGATTGACCAGATGCTTGAACTCCTACACAAGACATGAAGAAAGTAAAGAATCAAGTAAAAACTGAAGCTTTAAAGTTTAGTCCAATAAGCCACTGCAAGAGATAATTTTTTTTATCAAAACAACCAAACACACCCGTTCCAGTATAAAATATAGCAATCATTCTTAATTATGAAACGAAAAATCAATACACAAAATGGAGTCATTACTAATCCATATTAAGATATGTTTAGAGCCAATTAACCTAACAAAAACATCTAAATCAATATCCAAATCACGAAAATATAAAACCCCATATATCAATCCAAGTTATACAACTAAACGATTCCATAGACTAATAAAAGTGTCCAAGTTACCGTTCCAACAACTCAATCGTTCAAAATACTAAACAAACATAAAGTACTAGAAACTTATCCTTGGAGGCCAAGACCATCCTCAAGCAAATGCCACATCATACTACTCCTGAAGCATCAAGGGATTTAGAAAATTCTTAGCTAAAATATGATATCCAGGAATTTGCAATCACATAAGGTCTACCAATCTGCTATGTAAAGGTGCCAATCTTACAAACCAATTATCAAAGAACCAACAAAATGAAGTACGTATATCTATTTTGTAAATATACACAAAATTCCAATTGAAAAGAGGTACAAACTTAGCCAACCAATTTATGAACTCTGAATCAGACACATAGGACAAGGGAAACTGCAGGATATCTCCTACTACAAAATAACGAGAACAAGGAGCATAGAAGAGATAAAAAAAAAAAAAAAAAACTGTTTCATAAATGTTTTTACCGTTCAGATAATTATCACCAAGTGACAGAGAGGAATCAGTGAATCAGATTAGCTCAACGCGAACAAATTCTAAGTTAATGTTACCAAGTGCCAATAATACCAAGTCATAGAAAAGGATTACAACAACCAAGGTGCAGAAGGCGTAGAGAACAAGAGAGAAAATAGGGTTTTACCTCCTGCCTAATGGCGACAGATGCGAAGAATAATATAAATCAGTGGGTGTAAAGAGCACTAGTTTCTTGCTTCGCAGGAGAAAACGTAGGAGCGTGTAAATCAAGGGAACCGTGGAGCGAAAAATTGGCCGAGATGACAACAGATATCGAGGGAGCGTTAACCGATGCGATTAGTTGGTGGAGGATGTAGCAGAGACGGGCAGGGAAGCGCAGTCGTAATGGAGTTGTGGAAAGCAGGCGAGAGTAACTGGGTTTGTTGAGTTAAGTAAGAGACAGAAGAGAGAGCAGTTGGAGAAGCAATTGAGGAGGAGAGAAAAGGCGGTGATGATGCAGTGAAAGAATAAAGAGGAGGTAGGTGGCTTAGGGATTAGGGTCGTAACCGGTGTGATTTTCCGGCGACAGAGATTTCTTTTGTGGAGGTAGTAGATGGGCCAGAATTTGTATGGGCTTTTAGTTTAAACTTACAGGCCCATAAAGTTTTGAAATTTTCTTGGGATAAAAAAAAATAGTAAAAGTGGAGGAATAAAATAATGTAAAAATGAAATATAGAAAGATAAAAAATTGCACCATTTTACTTTAAAAAATGAAATAATTAGTATATTATTATATATTGATAAATATAGTTTTTAACTTTTTATAAGTATAGATGTAATTATATTTTATACTTTATGTATAACTAATAAATATATTTCACCTTAATATTAATTTTGTAAGATTTGCAGTAACTTATACATTGCTTTAGAAAAGTGGAGATGGGCAGGAAATGACATTTAAACTCTGCCTCATGTTTTGTAATAAGGAACTAATAAAAGTGCACTACATTCTTATGCTATACAAAATTATTTATATATATATATATGCACATTAATTACATAATTATGCTTTTTAAGTTTGAAAGATTGAAGGGTAAAGTAAATTTTGTTATTTTGTCAAATTAACTTAATGCATTTAAATTAAATACATGCGCTTGATTTAGTTCATTTTTAAGTATTTTATAACAATTATATAAAAGATTTGAAATCAAGTGAATGATTAAGGTAACAAATCAAACTAGCCTATGTATATATATACAAATTTGTTTATGTCTCCACAACATGAAGAAAATATTTTGCTATAACTTTTTTCTCAACAAAATTAAAGAGAAACAAAAAAAAAACAACAATTGCTCGCAATCAATCACACAAAGTTACTCAATCCCTAATAGAGATAAGAGATTTGGGCATTCGACAATGAAGCATTGTGACAAATGATCACACAACGAAGCATTTGATCATGTGTTTAGGTACTCGAACTTGGAAAAATATCAAACTACGTTGTGATGGGAAACAATGTGCCAAAGATTGCTTAGACATGCTTATGATTATGAACATAACTTTACTACATCTATATAGGTGTTTATTTATGTAAAAGATAAGAGAAGATTATTTTAGTTTCAGAGCATACATGGTTAAACGAGAGAATCCAAAAAACATGTATTGTGATCCTCGTGGATTAGAAATAAAAAAAAAAACAAGAGCGAGAATGTTTGATGATAAGCTCAAACAATATGGTGAAATTGAAAGGACTCAATTGATATCTTAGTATAAGATAAAATCAAATCTTTTACAAATAAAAGAGCCTAACGATGAGGTTATTTAGGCTAGATGTTAGAAGGGAAAATTAGTTGCAGGAGCTTTTAGAGACTAGGAAATAATATGACTAAATGAGTAAGAGTAAACTAGTTTTAAGGATGATGATAGAAGTGTCAGTAACGCTTCAAACATATGCATCTCTAGCATGACATGACATGGTGGGAGTCGCCTACCCCAGGATGATCTGCAGAACGGTTTAAGTTCCAGCTCTACTCTCTTCTTGTATCCAAAAAAAAAAAAAAACAGAGGCTCCATACATAATGGTATGCCTTGTTTACTTTTTTTACTCGTTGTGGGGTATTGTTAAAATAAATATAGTGGCTATGTATCAGATAATTTTTGTCTAAAAAGTTTTAATAATATTTGTATTACACTTACTTTTAAATACTAGACAACTCAAATATTATCGGGGATCTAACTCTGAAATTGAAACCTCATTTACTGTAAATTTGGCAGCTTCAAATCTGGATTTATCTGAATTTTCTGAAGATGACCATGTGTCTGCTGTCTGGGTATTGTGTGTAAAGAATGCAGGTGTTGAAGGTAAGGGGAGAGTAACAGAGTTGCTACCAAGCATGAGAACAACTGAAGCCATGGTGGGTCTTCTGGATGCAATTTCTTGAACACATAGTAATCCAATGTGCAAGCATCTCCTTATTTCACTTCCACAACCATTCCTCAGAATCGGATCAATCACGTCTACAGCTGCTCCTTTCCAATTTTTCCATGCCTGCAAAATTTCAACAATTACGTGAATCTTTTAGATCATTTTGACAATGTCTATGCCTATTCATGATTTAATTTTTCAGTATCCTTCTCAAACTTTAGTCCCTTCAAACAGCTTTAGCTTCACCTTTTGAATGCCATTGGTCTGACCTTAAGAAACATTTATATCAGTGGTGACTAGATCCAAAATGTTACAGAGAATAAGAAGTACATGAATTAGTTTTCACTTACACAGGTTAGAAGCCCCCCTGCCTCGTCCTCTTTGCTAAACTCACCATTTTTCTGACCGCTGATAACTTCCAGAAGCAATACCCCAAAACTGAAAACATCAGATTTAACTGAGAAACGCCCGTCCCTTACATACTCCGGAGCCATATACCCACTGCATAAAATTGGTGGTAAAAATTTTATTCATGAGATATTCTGTTGAGTGATAAGGGTGAAAATTAGAAGACCAGAATTCTGACATGAATCTGGACTTACAGTGTCCCAGCGATTTTGCTTGTATCTCCTTGAGTCTGATCAAATGCAAACAACCTTGCCATTCCAAAATCTGAAATTTTTGGATTCATCTCTGAATCTAACAGAATGTTACTAACCTTGAGATCACGATGAACAATCCGTAATTGAGAATCTTCATGAAGATAAAGAAGCCCACGAGCTATGCCTCCAATAATTTTGTAGCGTATGTTCCAATCCAGAAGTGAGCGCTTGACTGGATCTGCAAATTCCATAGAATCCTCAATGAATTCATTCAACTGCATAAAATTTAGGAGCAGACTACAAGAGCACAATAAATTGAAAGAGATCTAAGAGTACCATATATAAACTGATCGAGACTTGAGTTTGACAGAAACTCGTAAATGAGAATCCTTTCATTTAATTCTAAGCAGAAACCTATGAGCTTAACCAAATTTTTATGTTGCAGCCTTGCCAATAACAGGACCTCATTCTTAAATTCTGTGTCTCCTTGTTGAGAATTTCTAGACAGTCTTTTTACTGCTATTTGTCGTCCATCAGGAAGCTGGCCCTGCAAATATTTCAGAACGTGAAGTTTTCGGAAAAAAATTGTGAAAGATTGCAATGAATGATTAAAATTACGTTTTAGTACAGGAATATTACCTGGTAGACAGCACCAAATCCACCTTGTCCAAGCTTATTTGTATCTGAGAAGTTATCCGTTGCATTTCTAACAACATCAAGGTCAAATTTCAAGGAATCCATGGCATCAGTCCTATCTGCATCTTCACAAATAGAAAACATCTCAAGAAAGATACAATTAGTAGCTGAATTCACCATAACATTTAGAGATTACTTCTTCACTCATGCTACGTTCTAACCCCCAGTACACTCAATCTCACATATTGACTTCCTGGAGCATACAGCAGTTCTAATCAGTAATTTGAAAACGAAAAAAAAAAAAAAGATTAAGAGCATATGGAACTTACTTTCAACTTCAACATGCAGAAACTTTCGCTTTCTCCTCCAGAAAAGGGTAAATGTGAGAGCAACAAGAGCCAAGAAAATTATTGCACAAGTAGTAACAATTGCTACAACTGTTTTTGATGACAATCCCCCATTCTGATCTGCACAACACAGACTAGCTTATGGACGACATGACAAAAAACACAGCAAACTTGGAGTTACAAAATGCTTAAAATTCACCAAGATAAAAATCTTTTGGTTCAATTTTAGACCAGGCACACTGCACTGGCCTATGACGATCAGATAAAATATTAAGCTTCTGCGATTTTAAAATCAAAATAACCCAAGAAAAAAATATTACTTTTCTTTAGTGGTGTTGAAGTAGTTGAGTTGGGAGAGGTATGTGAAGGTGAAGACGGCGGTGGAGAATCAGGGGTTGCAGCGACGTTAAAAGCTTTGGCAAATGGATACAAGTCCCAGCGGAAAAAGCAGCTTGGTCTAAAAACCACTCCTCCTTGCTTCCCATGGCAACATTTTTTGTATTGACCAGCAGAGTCTCGTAGACAGTAGTTACAGTCGGCTTGAGATAAGTCTGGACTACACTGCATTAGAGCGTATATGGTTTGCAACGTTGGCAAATCTGCTTGTTCAATTCCATACTTAAGCCCAGAAGAATCCATGGAAGCCTTTCTCGCCAAACGAGATGCCAAACTCTCCCAGATTTGATCAAACTCCGTAAGATTTGATGTGATATTACCAGTATTATAGACAGCAACCATACGATCTAGCGTGAGTGAACCAAAAAATGCATGGTCCGCACAACGAACAAGGCATGGAGACTCACCTGCCCATGTATATGCTTCTTTCTGGTTGGGACAAGTTGTCAGGATATCTTGAACTGTCATGTTGACACAGCTGAAACAATCATTTACATCATAACCTCCTCTGCAGAGTGCGAGAGCATAAACTGTGTCTGGTTCCTGACCTACGGAGGTATTGTAGAAACCTCCTTTTGCTATAACGTTGGAAGGAAGCGAGGAGAGGGCGCGTTCCCGGTTTCTGCCATATGCACTTCCAGCAGTGAAGTTTCCTGTGTCAAAGCATACTGCTGCATTTGTAACACCAATGATCAGAGACAAGCAAAGAGGAAAAACCAAATAACGCGGTTCCATAGCGAAATTGTGGATGGTTGTATGACTGCTCCTAATTACTGCGTGTAAAAGAAACTGAGTTACATTTTTTCATTTATATTGGTGCGGTAGGCAGAAATTTCAGAGTTTACTCATAAAGTGGTCCAAATTCTAAAGGCTTCCAGTCTGCCTCTGGGTACTCCTTTGATTGTGAGACCAACTTCCATGTTTACTAAATCAAACTGATTGAACTTTCAATTGAGAAAGTCAATTCTAACCAATCAATACGCTGAGTAGTGCGTTAAGACAGAATTGTCAAATTGGGTGGTGATTTTTTGGGAGGTTCAAGTTGACGAAGTCTACCTATTTATTTTTTGATATTTTAATTTTACAAAATATATAATTGTTGGGTTATAAATAAAAGCTTAAGTTATTATTAATAATAGATCTTAAAGTTGTGGACGACTTTTCTAGCTTCTTTTAATCTCTCGTCTTCTTTCTTTTGTTCTTTAATAAGGATTAAAATGGTTGTGTAAATGCATGAATTTCATGTAATTCCAGCGAAGTCCATGATTTTTCTTCTTTTTTAAAACTCTTTAGATGTGTATGCTTTCATATACATGCTTAGCCTCTTTTCTTTCTGTATATGCATGTCTTACATTAAATAGTTTTCCATTTTAAGGGGATCATACATATATATCATCTGTAAACTGAACTCATACTGTTCCGCAATTACTTGCATGGCAGTTATTTTGTGGCTTTTGAAGCGTTAAGGATTTGTGACATGTATGATATAAGCATCAGGAGGAAAAGGTTGACTGACAGTGTCTTTCGGACCCAATGATTTATAAGAGCTCTGAAGATAAAAGTGAAAGTATAAGGAACTATGCCTTTCCTCAAACCAAACAAACTATTGATATCAGCCAAGTAGAAGTCAATGATGCATCCAATAATAAGTAACCCTGATATGTCTCATTACTCAATTATAAACTCACTGATGATGATTACTAAGCTTGCTGGCGGAGACAATAAAGGTATGGCTGCTGTAGTAGGGGGAGGGAAATGGTGCAGACGCAAGAGACTTGGTGAAAGCCTCACATAATAATCATTACGTAAACTTTCTGCTATATGATTAATCAAATTCTCAATACAAAGCACGGAGTTCAAAGACAGCAAACTAGAAGCTCAGTAGGAGGATCAACAAATAGTTGGACATTATTAAGATAAAAATACTCTCATTGTCATAGATTGAGACACATCCCAGGTTTGGAATTGTAGAAGAATAGAAAATGCATTCCACAACGGATGTATTACATTTCGCTCTATTTATTACATGTTTATAGGGCCTATGAGATGCAGCTATTCAGACTCTATGAGGTATTACTAACACTAGATCTTCAATATGGAGAAATGACACATCTCATTGTTGTCAATTATGCATCAAACAACTTAAGGTAACCATAACATAATAGATTACTAAACAATAAACTCACTGGTGGAGGTTGTTGAGGCTACTGGCATAGGCAGCAAGGATAGGGGAACAGTAGGTGGTGCATGCGCAAACAGCTCATAATAAGAGCATGATTCAATCCTCTCACAGCAACTTGACTTAATGTTCACAAATACTTCAGTACTTTAACGAGGATCTACTTCCGTGATTGATGCTTCATCAACTGACCAGGACTGTGATGGCAGTGATTTGCTTGTAGATGTATCAGGATCCATACTCTTTATTGGCTTGTCTAAATCTGCTCTACTTCGAAGAAAATACGCTGGCTGTCCAGGTAATGGTACAGTAACAGAGTAACTGTTAAGCATGAGAACTATAGTTGCCATTGTAGGTCTATAAGCAGGATTTTCCTGGACACATAATAGGCCAATATGAATGCATCGGATGACTTCATTTCTTGAATAAGAATCTCCTAACGTTGAATCCAACAATTGTAAGGGTGTCCCTTCCCTCCAAAGTTTCCAAGTCTGTGATAATTCAATAAATAACATTTCGGATTCAAACTAATTATTGTGCATTGGTAGAAGTAAATGGAAAAGGGGCATCTTATTAACACTTACATAACTCAGCAGATCTCCAGCACCATCTTTCTGGTAGTAACAACTGTTCTTCTTCCCACTTATAATCTCTAAAATTAACACACCGAAGCTATAGATATCTGACTTAACAGAGAAGTGGCCATGCATTGCATATTCCGGAGACATGTAACCACTTATGACAAAACAAAGACATAAGAAGATTGCTCTAGAATACGAACAGATAAATTTCAATAACTTCTGCTGAACTAGACAACAGTATATAAGCTAGATGCTACCCGTTTTTCTATTGTCTAGTTTGAAGCAGAAACAGTGGCATCTTGCACCGTTAGGTTTCTCTTCTAATAACATAATAACGTAAAAGAGAAAGATAAAGAGAAATTCTTACTATGTTCCGACAATTCTACTAGTGTTTCCTTGAGTCTGATCAATCCCGAAGATCCTTGCCATGCCAAAGTCTGAAATCTTTGGATTCATATCCTTGTCTAATAATATATTGCTAGCTTTGAGATCACGGTGTATAATTCTAAGACGAGAATCCTCATGAAGATAGAGAATTCCTCGAGCAATCCCACCAATTATCTTGAAACGTCTTGACCAATCCAATTGCCCTCCTTTTTCAGGGTCTGCACCACAATCAAGATCAAGTATGGTCGAGTGAATTATTTATTTCAAAAGGATAAATACCCTCAAACCTTAAGAATAATTTGAACTTTTGAAAATGCATGCAAGCACAGATAGAGCATATCACCATAAAGAAAATAATCAAGGCTTTTGTTGGGAACAAATTCGTAAATGAGTATCTTTTCTTTTCCTTCCAAGCAGAATCCGAGCAGCCGTGCTAGATTTCTGTGTTGAAGCTTGGCAACCAATACAACCTCATTCTTAAATTCTTCTGCACCTTGACCAGAGTTTCTCGATAATCTCTTCACAGCAACTTCTTGTCCATCAGAGAGTGTACCCTAGACATAATGTGCAATATTAATTAGTCTTTAGAAATAATGCTTCTGTTAATGTTTTTTTTATCTTGTCCAAAACTCCAACGTAGAGGAAAATGCTTAGACTTGGATTCATACCTTGTATACTTCACCAAATCCACCTTCACCTAACTTATTAACCTCCGAGAACTTATTTGTGGCAGCTTCAATTGTACCAAGATCAAATTGTAATGATTCCACCAGCGTAATTTCAGTCCCAGCTGCACAATCAAACGGTAATGTCATTGTAAGAAAAATCTACAAAGCCTACAAAGCATTTTGAAGTTGACATAGTATACAAGTTCGTTAATTGTTATTACCATGATCTTCCGGTTCAGCAGTGCTGTGCTTCTTTCTTGACCTCCTGATTAGGAAACAGCAGCCCATAATAAAAAGCAGAATAGAGACAGAGATTGGAGCAATAATAGCAATGATCACCGCATTAGGCTTGCCTTTTTCTGCATGAAAAACAGTTTGTATAAAACACAATGGTAAATCAAGTTTTCAGTCGTTCTGTTCTTTTGTAATTGCTCAAGAGCGATAGTAATCCCACGTCTCGAACCTAAAATATACAAGTTTAGGCCAGAAATTAGCAGTATATCAAGAATTTCATATCTTTGGGATGAAAAGAAACAAAAGAAAAAAGAAAAAGCAACTTTACTTTTCGGGTGAGGTGCAGAGCCAGGAGCAGCAGGCGCTGAAGCTGGCGATATTGTCAAGTCTTCAAAAAATGGGTAAAGCTCAAATCGGATACTGCAGCTTGGATTGAACATTCTAGCACCTTGGAATATGCCACAACAAGCCACCAACTGGTTAACAGCTTGCGTCAGGCAACCGCTGCAATCAAGCCCTGTCAAGTCCGGCGTGCATTGCACGAGGCTATAAACTGTCTGCAGAGCTCTGAAATCCACTTTCTTGGCGGCAAATTTCTTGGCCCCAGGTCCAGCAGAAGCGGCCGCCTTGGTGGCGTCGTTTAACAGCGAAGCCACCAGCTGATTGAAACGGTCCTGTTCGTTGGAGATATTCAAAGTGTTTCGCAAGATAAGAGCAGGATCTGTTGCCCATCTGGAGAAGATGGACCGGTAGGAGTAACGAAGCAAGCACTGGTCGTACCAAATGACGGTTTCTTTCTGAACAGGGCAGCGCTGGATCGTGTCATCCACAGCAAATTTCACGCAGTCTCTGCACGTTTCTTTGTCCACATCCCCACGGCAGAGAAACAGGCCGTAGACTCTGTTGGGAAGCTGTCCGGCGGTGGTGTTGAAGAATCCGGCGTCGTAGGATGCGTTGGCGGTGGAGAGAGAAGCGAGGAGAGTATTTAGGTTGGCCTGGTAAGTGGTGTTTGGTGCGAAGGTGGTTGTGTTTGAGCACTGATGGTAGAGATAAGTTGGGTCTATTCCGCTTGTGGACATGGCTAGGGAGGTGAGGTAGACGAAGAGAAACGCGAACCCAGATGAGAATTCGTTGGCAGCCATCGTAATCCTGGGAATTTGCTAAAGAACATACGAAGCAAAGACTTGATCCTGATTTAGCTTTTCTAGCCTAGATATCAAAAAGAAATGTGTGAACATGGGAGCTGATCATGAGAGTGACAGTCAGCAGGGTTCAAAGTCAATTTGGATTGAAAAATCAAAGGACGTTAAAAATGGTTGGGGATAGAAGTAGACGACGGGAAGCAATTAATGGTCTTTTCATTTATCTTTTTACGTAGCCATAAAGAGTCTTAAATAATATAAAAAATAATTGTAATCATATCATTAATTATTATTCGTAGGACTTCATACCTTAAACTTCAATATAATATGACACAACAAACATTTCTAAGTGAAATAGAAGATCTAAACTAAATCACTATTATTATTTATAATACAATATTCTATATATGATTCATCAACCCTTCCGACTGATCAAGACTCTAACGAGGAAGCAATTCAGTGATTGAAGCTTCATTAATGGAATATTGGTGTGATGGCGATGACTTGGTAGCACTTTGATCAGAATACATCATCTTCATCCCCCCGTTTGAATCCATTCCACTTGGAACAAAAAATGCTGGTTGTCCAGGTGATGGTAGACTAACTGAGTAACTGTTAAGCATTAAAAGGATTGTCGCCATTGTAGGTCGATCAGCCGGGTCTTCCTGAACACATAATAGCCCAATATGAATGCATCGGATCACTTCATTTTTCGAATAACAGTCTCCTACCATTGGATCCAGCAATTCTAATGGTCTTCCATCCCTCCAAACTTTCCAAGCCTGCACCAATTTACTTATTCAATACTTTTACAATCTAAACCACCCTCTCTCTCTCTTTTAATTGTAAGATAAATATACTTACGTAGCTCAACAAGTCACCAGTACCATCTTTTTCGTAGAAACTACTGTTCTTCTTCCCGCTTATAATCTCTAAAACTAATACTCCAAAACTATACATATCCGATTTCACTGAGAACTGCCCGTGCATTGCATATTCTGGAGACATGTAACCACTGCAAAACATCACCAGGTAAGTAAGCATTAAGCTTTTCATAGATAATTTAACTCTATCATAACTCTTACTATGTCCCCACAACTCTACTGGTGTTTGCTTGCGTTTGATCAACTCCAAAAATTCTTGCCATGCCAAAGTCCGAAATTTTGGGATTCATATCTGCGTCTAGTAGTACGTTGCTAGCTTTGAGATCGCGATGTATAATTTTGAGTCGAGATTCCTCATGAAGATAAACAATCCCTCGACCGATCCCACTGATTATCTTGTAACGTCTTGACCAATCCAACTCTCTTTGTTTTTCAGAGTCTACACGGCGATAATCAACATCAAATACGAGTTGAGGTTAATTGTTTTAGTTAAAAATTTTCAAAATGCCTGTCAGTATATATATATATATATACACACACATAGATTGATCACCATAAAGGAAATAGTCAAGGCTTTTGTTCGGAACAAATTCGTAGACAAGTATCTTTTCTTCTGCTTCCAAGCAGAATCCAAGGAGTCTCACTAGATTTCTGTGTTGAAGCTTGGCAACCACTAAAACCTCATTCTTAAATTCTTCTGCACCTTGGCTTGAGCTTCTTGATAATCTTTTCACAGCAATTTCTTGTCCATTTGGCAGTGTACCCTAATCATAATATGCAATATTAACCAGTAATTATAACTACTTTTCACTTCATCACACAAATCTTACACTTTTGGATTATACTTACATACCTTGTATACTTCACCAAATCCACCTTCACCTAACTTATTAACCTCCGAGAACTTATTTGTGGCAGCTTCAATTGTACCGAGATCAAATTGTAACGACTCCACCGTTGTAATTTCAGTCCCGGCTGCACTCACAAACAGTTTACTATTGACAAGAAAGAAGAGATTGAAAGCAATATCTTCAAACGCAGATCTTAAATCCCGTATAGTATGTAAGTTAATGTCATTGTCTTTACCATCCTCTGGTCCAGCAGTGCTTTGCTTCTTTCTTGACCTCCTAACCAGTAAACAGTAGCCTATCACGAATAGCAGAACAGAGACAGAAATTGGAGCGACAATGGCAACAATCACCGTAGTTCGATTCCTTTTTCCTGCATGAAAAATGATACGTTTAACACCTTTTTGTTTTAAAACAATTAAAACAAAAGAAAGAGAAATCAATTTCATGACCTCTACTCCGTCTTGCAGAACTGGGTGGTTGAGGAGAAGGAGGGAAAACAGGGGCAGAAGCTGGTGATAAACTCAGATTTTCTCCGTAAAATGGATAAATCTCGAACCGGGCATTGCAGCTAGGAGTGAAAACTCTGGCACCTTGGTCTACACTGCAACAGTTCTTCAATCTGTCAACAACTAGCTGGAGGCAACCGCTGCAATCCTGCACTGACAAGTCCGGAGTGCACTGCGCAAGTGTATACAAACTGTTAAGAGCTGTGAAATTCTCTTTCTTGGTGGCAAACTTCTTGGCACCGGCCGGCGCAGAGGCGGCCATGGCCGCGGAATCGTTTAGTGTCGAAACTACAAGCTTACTGAACCGGTCTTTTTGGCTAGTTATGTTCATGCTGTTCCACATCCGAACGGAGGGAGTCGTGGCTCCGACGGAGAAGATGGAGTTGTTGGAGTAACGGAGCAAGCACTGGTCGTACCAAATCACAGTTTCTTTCTCAACAGGGCAGCGCTGGAGTGTGTCGGCGACGGAAAAAGTGACGCAGTCTCTGCAGGTTTGAGTGTCGACATCTCCGCGGCAAAGGAAGAGGCCGTAGACTCTGTTTGGGGCCTGACCAGCGGTGGAGTTGAAGAATCCGGCATCGTAGGTGGCGTTGGCAGCGGAGAGAGAAGAGAGGAGAGAGTTGAGATTGGCGTTGTAAGTGGTGTTGGGTGTGAAAGTGGATTGGTTTGAGCAGATGTGGTAGAGGTACGTTGGGTCTCTTGCGGTTGTTGAGATGACCAGGGAGGTGAGGAAGATGAAGAGAAAAGCAAAGGCAGATAAGAATCTAATGGCTGCCATGGAAATATTCCTCGGAAATTGCTAAGGATGATAACAGAGGTTGCTTTCTTTTTTTTTTTGGCTTCTTCAAGCTTGTTATAATGTTCCGAACAATTAGACCGGTAAAAGTATTATTATTATTGTTTTTTATTTTGGACAACAAAAACAAAAGAAAATTATTCAATCAGGCTGAAAAGTCAAGTTTGAAGGTACGAGAGAAATTAAAGTGGAGGTAGAAAAGACAGACGACAGATGGGGACAGAACTAGACCTAAGTCTTCTGTTTAGTTAAGAATATGTTTTACAAGTAAAATATAAAAAAAAATTATGGTTTGTAAATTAAATTAGAAGATAACAAAACAAAATTATATATGTAAATTTGTTAACTAAAAAGATTGATTACTGTTTCTGATAGAATGGGGTTTAGAGTCGTGGCATTTGTTGGATGTGCCTTTAACATTTTTTCCCACATTGGGTACGCAGGTCTTGATAACTTTTTGTATTTTCTTGTCGTTTCTTGTTGAATTGTGTCTGTACATGACAAACCCAGAAAGTAGACTTTGGCTTTTTAGTCAGTCAACGATGCAGCAGATTAATGATGTAAATATTACACTATATGCAGACTACTGTTAACCCATTATAGTATTCACATTTAGTAATAAATTCTGTATTCAACGCAAAGTTAGTTCATACAATAATTTATTGAGCACCTACTTGGTATAACACTCCAAACAAACACTACTTACGATGTTTCTGAGTGATCTCTATAGATCAAGACAATTCCTAGTAAAATGCACTGAACTCGGCAATCTGAGTCTTCTTGTAGATTCACAAAATTGTCTTTAACTGCATTTACAAAACAGAGCTAAATGCAGCCTACGAGTAAACTTGCTTGCAGATTCAAAACAACTTCTAGCAATATTGTCTTTAACTGCATTTATAAAAGAGAGCTAAATTCAGCCTATGAGTAAACTTGCTAACTCTTCTGAAAAATATGAATCTCTTTCCCAGTTAATACTTGTTAAGAATAAAGCTTCAGCGCTTTAACGAGGATCGATTTCTGTGATTGACACTTCATTAACTGACCAGCCATTTGATGACAGCAAGAATGGGTACGGGCCTGTAGATTCAGACGAATCTAGTGTCTTGATCGGCATGGTTGAATCACCTTTACTTCGAAGGACAAATGCTGGCTGTTTTGGATTTGGTAGAGAAACAGAATAACTGTTAAGCACAAGAACTATTGTTGCTATTGAGGGTCTATCACCAGGATCTTCCTGAAGACACAACAGCCCAATATGAATGCACCTCACGACTTCATTTCTGGAATACGAATCTCCCAACATAGAATCCAAAAATTCCAGTGGCGTACCCTTCCTCCATAGTTTCCATGCCTACATTAGTTCATTGATTAGTACTTGGAATTTTGACCTTTTACGTTTTCAGCTACAAATGTAATATATAGACACTTACATAACTTGGCAGATCCTCAGAGCCATCTGTCTGGTAGAAATTGGTATTGTTCTTTCCACTAATAATCTCTAAAATTAAAACTCCGAAACTATATATATCAGATTTCATGGAGAATCTCCCATGCATTGCATACTCCGGAGGCATGTAACCACTAGAAAAAAGAACAAATTTCAGAACACATAGTTTCAAGTTGTTGCAACAATTTAGTATTTCTTAGTGATTGATTTCTTAAAATGATGATGCAAATAGGGCATTGTGTATAGTAGCAACTCAACTAAATGCCACCATGCAAGAAAGTAATCTTACTAGGTTCCTATGATTCTCTTAGTGTTTGCTTGAGTTTGATCAGCTCCAAAAATTCTTGCAATGCCAAAATCTGAAATCTTCGGATTCATTTTTCCATCTAACAATATATTGCTAGCCTTGAGATCGCGATGAATAACTTTAAGCTGAGATTCCTCATGAAGATAAAGAATGGCTCGAGCAATCCCAATGATTAAATTGTAACGTCTTGACCAATCTAACTGTTCTCGCTTTTCAGAGTCTGCAAATTCATGATAATCAAATTCAAGTAACATACTGTAACAAATAGGCAAAAACTTCACAAAATAGCCTCTTGAAGCTTCATTATTTTCAAAATGTCAAAAATTTAGATGGAACAGACAGACCGAATAAGAAATTGTCAAGGCTTCTGTTGGGGACAAACTCATAGACTAGTATTTTTTCCCCTCCTTCCAAGCAGAATCCCAGGAACCTCACTAGATTTCTATGTTGAAGCTTGGCAACCAATAGAACCTCATTCTTAAATTCTTCTGCACCTTGACATGATCGTTTTGATAATCTCTTCACCGCTATTTCTTGTCCATTTGGAAGTACACCCTGTGAAAACCATGAATATTAATCAGTCATTTATAACTCATTTTATGCCTTTTGTATGAAGTTCCAGTACTAACATTACTGATTAGAATTTGGTTTCTACCTTGTAAACCTCACCAAACCCACCAGCACCCAACTTGTTATTTTCTGAAAATTTATCTGTTGCAGCTTCAATTGCAGCAAAATTGAGTTGCAAGGCCTCCGTCACCATAATGTCACTTTTAGCTACAGAAACAAATATTATAACATGAACAATTCTGAAACTCACAACAGAAACAAAGATTATAACATGAACCATTCTGAAATTCACAAATCAAGAAGATTTGGCTGTAAGTTGTGCAGTAATTAAGGTACTTATACCATTTTCTTCTAAAGCATTGTACTCCTGTCTCCAACGCCTAACCAGTAACCAATAGGCGAAAATGAAAAGAATAGCACAGACAGCAATTGGAGCAGTAATGGCGACAATTGTTATCTTTGAGTGGCTTTTACCTGTGTAAGAACAAGGTTTTGTGTGTGAATAGAACAGACATGTGTGTCTATATAGCAGCACATATGTTGTGATAATTGGAAAAGACAGTAGCAAGTTACCTTCAGGCCTTGCTTGAGGAGGAAGAACTGCAGGTGCAGCCGCTGGAGTTGCAATCAAGCTCTCGTTGTAAAAGGCAAAAAAGTCATGTCGAGCAGTGCAGCTAGGCGTCAGCACTCTTGCACTTTGCTTCCCAGTCGGCAATTGGTTAATAATTTCCATTAGGCAACGGTTGCATTCTACACTAGACAGGTCTGGTGTGCACTGGACAAGGCTGTAGATTGTCTGAGATTTTGTGTAATTCGCCTTGTTGGTCGCCAACTTCCTGGCAGAAGTTGCAGCCTCACGGACTGCAGCTCGCATCACTGTGCCCACCAGCTCATCGTACCGCCCTTGGTTGTCCAAGACATCCTGCGAACCCCACAGGTAAACTCCATCGCTGGTGTCCATGATGGAGAACAGGGCTCTGTTTGTGTAACGAAGCAGGCACTGCTCGTAGTACAAGACGGCCTGTTTGACGACAGGGCAAAGCTTGAGTGAGTTATTGGCGGCAAAGACGACGCAGTCTTTGCAGCCTTCTCCTCTGACATCTCCGCGGCAAAGGAAGAATCCGTAGACACTGTCCGGTCTCTGGCCGGCGGTGACGTTGCCAAATCCGCTGTCGGAGGAGGCTCTGGTTGCGAGAGCAGACAGGACAGTATTCAGGTTGGCCTGGTAAGGACTGTCTGTGGTGAAAGTAGTTCTGTTGGAGCAGACATGGGCAAGATAAGTCGGCTCTTTTCCATCTGTTAATATGAGAAAGAAGGTAACGAAGAAAAGAAAAGCAAGCCCAGTCGAGAATTTGAAGGGGGAGGCCATTACCATCTCTGCAAATTTTCAAAGATCAGCATAAGAAACTGAAATTGCTTTTTTTTGGTTTTCCAATCTGGTGAACTGGGTATTGATGATGAGACCATCAGTCGTTGATAGTCTCCGTACATCAAATCTACAAAGTGAAATTCATCCACGCCAATTAATTGATACTGTTCCTGTGAAAGGGACAAGATTTGAAAAAAATCAAGCAGGTTGAAAAGTCCGTTTTGTAATGCTGCTGAAATTGAAGTCGGTGAGGACAAAAGCTGTGAGAGAGGCTGGTTCTAGTGTTGTGTCGTTCTGTTATTCGTGACACTTGGTGCAAATCTGTGACTTGGTTATACTAGCAAGTATCCTCTGTTGCTAAGCTTATAGCATTCAATTAAAAAGGGTCTTTACCAAGAACGAAAAGCCTGTTTTTCAATGGGCTTGTTTTGCTTTCGATCAATGAAAAAACTTGGTAGTTTCTATCAAAACATATATCTGGATGATACATGAAGACAATCAAACTTTGCTCACATCCAGTAAGGAGATTATTATGATCTCTAAAACACTATTACCGTCCTATATCTTCGAAATATCAGTGTCACAATTGATGCATTTGACATGACTAATATAAAAAGGTCGGAAGCAGCTAAAAATATCAAAAGGTATTTCAGTCAAATTCTTCTCAAGAACATTTTGGTTCTGCACTTACAGATCGTGTAGCAATTGTTTATTACAGTACATTGGCAGTTTGGGGGAACAAACTAAAAATATGGCAATAAAGACTGTACATTGTCTAGGAATTTTAAGAAAGTTGCAGCTCAAGTCTTATTAAAGAATTCTGTTTCCCCTGTTTAACTCTTCTCTCCCAGAGTCGGAAATGAGTAAATTTTCTTCTTTTTTCTCCCTGTTGGTCAACTTAGAGAACAGATTGATGACTCAAGATTATCTTTACAACTTGTTTGAGTAATAATCACCGAGGTGACACATTTGAAAGAGTTGCATCATTAATAGAAAAGAGATCAGCCTTCGAAGTGGGTTGAACCAATACTCGTCCAACAGAAAATGCAGGTTGCATTGGTATAGGAAGTTCCATAGATTCACTTGCCAACATAACAGCTACAGATGACATTGTGGGTCTGTCTGCTGGATCTTCTTGCACACATAATAGTCCAATGTGAATGCATTTAAGCACATCACTTCCTACACATGATGGTGCAAGTATTGGGTCCATCACCTCCAATCCTTGACCTTTAGACCATGATTTCCATGTCTGCAAAATTGATAATAATTAGTTAAAAGACCTAGCTTTCTTTGTTTCAAAACAGAAATATACAGAAACATACATATGAGATCAAGCTTTCTCCATGTTCTGAGAGATGGAAACCATTGTTCTTTCTCCCACTTATTATCTCTAAGAGGAGGACTCCAAAACTAAAAACATCTGATTTTACTGAAAAGATTCCCTCCATTGCATACTCTGGTGCCATGTATCCACTGTTCAACACACAACAACAGAACTGGGATACCATTAAGTAAGACATACAAATCTATTGTACAGAAACTACAAAAGATAATTTCTACCAAGAATTGACAAGGCTAAATAGAAAGAGATGCATACTATGTTCCAACAACTCTCTTTGTATTCGCTTCATTTTGATTCCCTCCAAAAATCCTTGCTGTTCCAAAGTCTGATATCTTTGGATTCATATCATCATCCAACAAAAACATTGCTAGCTTTGAGGTCTCTATGGATGATTCTAAGCCTTGAATCTTCATGGAGATACAGAAGACCTCGTGGAATTCCCACTGATGATGGCTAGACGTCTTTTCCAGTTTAGTTCAGTTGCCTTGCTCGAATCTGTGACAATGTTAAAGTTGGTTAATATATTTCTGTATCAAGGAAGCAACATTAGAATATGCATAAATATGCCAAAATTAAAAATTGAAGGCAAGATTTCTTAGAGTTTTTAGAAACAAACCAAAAAGGTGGAAGTCAAGACTTTTGTTTGGCATGTACTCATATATAAGCAGTGATTCTCCTCTCTCCAAGCAGCATCCCAATAGCCTCACAAGGTTTTTGTGTTGTAATTTGGCAACCAAAATAATTTCAGTCTTGAACTCATTCTCTCCTTGCCCAGATGCTTTCGATAGCCTCTTAACTGCAATTTTCTTACCATCCACTAATGTACCCTGGTGGCAGTTCTTGATTATTCAGTACCGAGTAAACCATAGTTCCCACGTACTTTTAACAACAAAGATAGTGTGTATATATATATATATATATATATATATATGTTGTGCAGTTAATGAACTCTACAAAATAATTCTTCAGGCAGCCCTATGTAGGACCTAGAAGGATCTGTAACAGCTTAACACATACATAAATCAGAACTGCAATAAAACTTGCCTTGTACACTGGGCCAAAACCACCTTCACCAAGCTTATTTTCTTTACAGAAATGCTGTGTTGCCTCTAGTACCAGACTTAATGGAACCAAAGGCAGTTCTTGAGATTTCATCTGTTTCTGTCCGAGCAAAAATTCACCTGAGCAGTCCTCTCCTATTCCACCTTCTTGGACAAGTAGTCGAACCTCTTGCCTAATTGTTTCTTTTTCATCTATAAGAGTAAGATACAAAACAATGATTCTCCATACCTTTCAGTAAAGTAAGTCCAGAGCCAAGATTGCTCCTATATATGTGTGGAGATATATATAGCCAAGCAACCCAATTACCTTTGGCTTTGTTGTGTCTCCTCTTAAGCAACAGAATGTAACCAGAGATTGATATTAAAACAATTGCTGCAGGTATGGAGATACTGATTGCGGTAATTGCAGATTTCTTTCTTCCCACTCCTTCACAAAATAGATCCATTCCATGTTTAGTTTCTACGAGTGTCAATAGTCTCACAGCTAGTTCCACCAGTTTTAAATTAAAAATTTACTTATTAAAGTTAGAGACAAGAATTATATAGGAACAGATCAAAATGGAACCTTAAAGATGTAAATTAAGTAAAAGGCTTTCATTACTTTAAGACCAAATACTAAATCCTTTCCATTAATTTTGTATTCAAGGGAGAACTGAATATACTCACCACCAGGAATGGATGGTCCAGGGGCCAATGTTGAAGGCAACACCTCAAACCTTACACTACAACTTGGTATAAGAATTCTCGCACCCATCTTTCCTGCTGCAACGGTGAAAATCAGAGAAGCAGCCTGATTTGTGCAGTTCTGGCAGTCTGTTGCGGACAAATCTGGTATGCACTGCACATAGCTATACAGATTGTAACCAGAATTGGAAATGGATGTTTCATTGACTGCAAATTTGAAGCCATCAGAACTTGCTTTCACAATGAGACCACGTAATATTTGGCTCAAAAATTGATCAAACGTATCTGGCCCAGTAAAGTTGTTGACATTAGCCAAATAAATGGATGGTACTGTTTCCAAATCAGAGAAGAAATATGCATTAGAATAGCGCACTAGACAATCACTGTACCACAGAGTAGCCTTCTTGGTGCCGCTACAATTGTGCAGAATATCAAAACTTGCTAACTCAATGCATTTCTGGCATGCCTGTGAAGTAGCATCACCTCTGCAAAGATAAAGGCCATAAACTTTATCCGGGTCTTTTCCTTGAGTTGTACTGTAAAAGATGGCATTGCCTCCCTCGTCATAAAGCTTTCTGCTAAGCAGCCTGTCAAGGTTGCGACTAAATTCTGCAGACGCGGTGTTATTAGATTCAGAAGGGCAAGAAAACATGATATTGTCAAGCTGGCCCGACGTAAAATTCACCATTTCTGGGGAAAACAGAATCAGAGTGGCAAGCAGCAAGAAGAGTGGCAGCATCCTGTTGGATTTGTTCTTGTCCCGAGTAATTTTTGAATCTCAGATGGAAACAACTTTTTCTTTTTTCAGGAGAGCTGCTGCAATATAGTTTAGGAATAAATGATAACACATAATGGTCAAAATAAGCAGCAGAACAGGTAACTGTTGTAGTATCATGATTTGTATTTGGTCTCAGGTAAGTCCTTCCCTGGAAAAAAAAAGGAAAACAACGTTGTGTATATCCCATAGGACAAGACTGGTTCAAAACGCAAGGAAAGAGAGAAGAAGAGAAAAGAAGAAGCCAATTAAATTTTTGAAGAGGTCAATAATTTAATTTAATTTCATCTGTTAACCTAATTCTTGGACTTTGAAGGTTTCTTTAGTCCTTTTCATTATAGAAGAAAAAGTAACTTGTATCCTTGGAGCAAAAGAGAGGATAAAATATATATATATATATATATATATTATATAATGCATTCAGAATTTTGCACAAATTACAATTTTTTTAATAAATGACGTAACAGAAAAAGGAAATTACTTCAGAGTTATGTCTACAGAAACTGACCTCTTTATGGCTTTTGCAATTTGTTTCTCTCGGCTCCTGCTAATAACATAAAATTCAAAACCCTAAATTCAGTACCAATCTTGTCGACGCTCTAATTCAGCATTTCCACACAAAATTGACTGCCGTTTATCTAACAAATAGATCATAGTTATTGTCATCACAAGATAATGATATTATTCATTTGACAACAAGCTTTTATTTTCTACCGGCATAATCATTTGTTAAAAACGTTGAAAGGACAGAAGGGAGAGGAAAAGTAAAGAGTCGCGGGAGACCAGGGTTAGGGTTAGTTTCTCGGTGCTCAATTATGGGCTTAAGAAGATTGACCTCACTTCCTCACCTTCGTGCTTCTTCTCTTCCTCGAACCTTGTTTTCCCGCTGCAACTTCTTTCGATCTTACCTTAAATCCGGTCAGTAATCTAAGCTGTCCACTCTTCATCTTGTAGTATTGCAGGTGTTTGTTAAAATGTCTATGTGAGTTCGCCTTGATTTCGCATTAACTCGAACTTCTGTTTTTGTCCGCGGCATCAAGATTAGGGGATATCGATGGGGCGGATACGCAAGAGTTCTCCGTATGGGAAAATGGAGGTGGCTCCTTCCACAAGTCGGCTTGCATTGATCCCACTGCATATATTGGGATAGGTGCGGTCATTCATTCAAAATCTGTTCTTGGTGCTGGCGTTCGTGTTGGCTCGGGAACTGTGGTTGGACCTGCTGTTTCCATTGGCCAATCCACAAAAATTGGGTATGACCTTGAAAATTGATGGTAACCATTGACAATGACTACTAGACATCAGTTTCCAAAAATGAATATTAACAGGAATTTTGAGTCTTAATGAGCTGATGCTTGCTTGCTTGCTTCGGGGCATGAGACCATGTCTGAACTTTAGCTTCTATATGATTACGAGCACTCAAAGAGAAAGAAACCCAATGAAAATTTTAAAATTCAATGCTTGCCATTTACTATTGGGTTTCTCTCTCCATTGATTACTGTGTTTCTCAGGTATAATGTTGCACTTGGTAACTGCTCTATTGGTGATTCATGCGTAATCCACAATGGAGTTTGCATCGGTCAAGATGGTAAGGCCTGAATAATTGAACTTAACCTCACTCACTCATTACGAGAGTCTGAGGAAGCTTTTGGTGTTTTCCTTGGTCAGGTCTTCATCATTCTTTGTTAGTTCAAATATATGTCTGATTTATGAATTGTGTGCTTAACATGGTATGTTCTACAATCGCCTTACGACACATGCAATATCAGTTGAATCCAGCCCATATATAACATAATGTCGGCACTCCTCAAAATTATATTTTATACAAATTTAAAAAATTCGGGGGAAAAGAGGGGCAGAGAGGTCTACACTTGATACTTTTCAGTGAACTAGCTCCCCTGACTTTTAGTGATGCTTATCAAATTAAGACATTTTTAGAATGTGTATCGTTGGAATTTGATTTTATATAACACTTAACCCCTTTCAGAAAAAAATTCGTTTACGGTAGAGTCCTTATAGTTATAAATGTAAATGTAATCTTTTGCTAGGATTATGCTGCTGGCTTCTAAAATTCCGTCCCTCGTGTTTATATGTTGCAGGATTTGGGTTTTTTGTGGATGATGATGGGAACTTGATAAAGAAACCTCAGGTTGGTGATCTTTTTTAGGATTTTGCACCAAAATCAGTTTTTTTTTTTCTTTTTAAATATTTGAGTTCTTCTTTTTCTGATTCACGTTTCTTATCTTCAAGACTCTGTTACATGAAGACATAATGTTCCAATAGCAAAAAGAAAATGATCATGTTTACTGCCAGGGTCCTCACTGTATAGCATGCAGTGGATCTGTGCTGATAAACAAGATTAATTTGAGACTTCTAAATATTAAGTTTCGATTTCTACCTTTAGCGACTACTGATCCATTTATGATTTCTTGATCATGGGTTTAGTGGTGCTATCTTCATGTTTTCATTCATGCCATCAGAATTTCTCTATTTTCTGGCCATTATAAGTGAAATTTGAATTTCTAACTAAGATTGTGTGGACATATGAGATGCAGTAGTCAACTTGAGATAATGTCACAGCCCCAGAATATATTAGCCAATAGGATTAGCTTGTTGATTGAAACAGTGCTAGTCTTTGCTTTGTAGATAAGCTAATGCTTAGAATTTCATATTGACAGTAAATGGCCTTAGTTAAATATTTGCTCAGTTTTGGATGAGAAACTAAATGTTCTGTTTTCTACAATACTTTTTCTACAGACATTAAATGCTAGGATAGGGAACCATGTGGAGATCGGTGCAAACACATGCATTGACAGGGGCAGGTTATGTGCAATGAGTTTTTAAGTTTCTTATATCATTTTTTCAACCAATATGTCCACAAATTTCTAACTAGTTTTTCTTGAGTGACTATCAACCTGGATTACTAAACGTACCTCTTGTCTGCACATGCAGTTGGAGAGACACTGTCATAGGGGATCATACAAAGATAGATAATTTAGTCCAGGTGAGTTTTGCTCCCTGTTTTTCTTCCTTGCAATACCCTGGGACATATAATTGATAGTCTGGTTCTCCATGCAGATTGGTCATAATGTAATCATCGGAAGGAATTGCATGTTTTGTGGACAAGTTGGGATAGCTGGTCTGTGACGTATGTAACTATCACAAAAAGCCCATGTTTCTACCCTTCTTTCAAGTGGTTATTTTGATTTTTGCAAGTATTTGATCCAGCTGTCAACTATGGACTTGATAAGTTATTAAAAGTTACATATATTCCCTTTCTTGTTCCCCCAGGTTGGAGACTCCATAACCCTAGGAGGAAGGGTAGCAGTTCGTGACCATGTCTCTATTTCATCAAAGGTATTTGTATGAGTTAAGCACCTCCTTTCCTTCAGCATCAGAATCAATTAATTACAAAAAATTTAAGTTTGAAATCAGATTATGAAAAAATATTTATATTGAACATGTCCTTTTTGTGCTTTGAAGACAATAGAATTTGGAATCTGATTAGCACTATTATTGAGTTGTGGAGCAAGGCTTTACTTTACCGTTGGAATTCTTCCTTCTAACTGAACAATATTGTGCTTCTGATTTGGGAGTTGATCCAGGTTCGACTTGCTGCAAATAGTTGTGTCACTAAAGATATCAAAGAGCCTGGAGATTATGGTGGCTTTCCTGCTGTAAGAATCCTTTTTAGACTGATTTTCTTTGTTGTCTGTGTGCTTAAAAAATCAAGCACATCTTTCCTACTGCCATTTGATTTCTGGGAAAACTTCATCCCAAGTTGATTTTCTATGCAGGTCCCAGTTCATAAATGGCGAAGACAAGTGGCTTACCAGAATCGGATTTCTAGCAAGGGGAAGGCATAGGATGAGAACTTTGTTGTGGAGGCCTGCTATGTGTTAAATTACACTGTTGATTCTTGAGGAAATTATATGGTAATGGAAAAAAGGACAATAAGAATTATAATGGATCTTCTCTTTCATTTGTCATTCTTACCCATTTAGTCAACTGAATGCTATTGGTCAATCTTTCATTGGGTTGTTTTCTTGGTTAAGTTAATTACAGAGAAACTACTATTTCATTTCCCTTCAGTGTCAATGAAAGAAATGTGATGGTTTTCATAATAGCATACTTGTTGATTATACATCTTATCACTAGAAGGCATTATAAACCATTTTAGTTTTGATTGCATTGCAGGAAATATACAATATAAACAAAACATTATGTTGCAAAGAAATTAAGTAAAGCAGCTGAAGCTCTCAAGTATTATATCTCCATTTCTTGGAAGATCTTTTAAGCTTAAACTTGTTCTTATTTATAGTCTTCCCATGGGAGCCGATATTTGCACGGCCTTCCACATGCATTTTATGATGCTTGCTCTTCATGCCCCATAACTCATATCGAACTGCAGTTGATAAAGAAATCTTCAGTTCAGCTGTAGCATTCGACACTGCTTTGCGGAAGGATTTCCACAGACGAAGATCATGAGCATCCACAGAATGCTCAAAATGATCAGTTTTTCCCTTTCCTTGTTTGAAGGCATCAATTTTTTTCGTTGCCATTCTATCATTACCATACATAAATGTAAGTAAGATATCATCATACAGAATATGGTTGTCCCTGCTTGGATTTTGAATTTCAAGCTGATAGCTAATGGTGCGATTGTCATCTGGTGCAGAAGCATCTGGAACTGTTAAATTGTCGATAAAATAGTTGGGACTCTTGGGACGCAAACTTAGCCATATACAAAGAACAAGAAGAAGCAATAGAGCTACAATTTGGAGAATGAACAGAGAGAAGCGTCTAGTCTCACACATTGTATGTTAAAATCTCTATGCGGGTTATTGAAAAACTGGGAGCTAGACTAAAAGCACAAAATATGGTTTCTTATGGAGGCAACTTTGAGCAGTTTTGGGTCACAAGAAAGCAAAAAGAAAGAAGAAAAAAAATGAAAAAAGGGAAAGCTTGATCTTTGATCTATCAATGAGCAATACTTAAGAAGAAGATTGTAGATGAGTATGTTTTTAGGATGTGGGCATATGTGCCTTCCTTCACAGTTTCATTTTTGCTTTAATGTTTTTTCTTCTTCTTTTTTTTTTTTTTTTTTGGGCCTGGTTGAAGCTGTCTGTCTGATTTAATGGTTTTCACATACGTGTTATTTTTGTCATTCACCGAGTTGAATCGCAAATATTTAATTAAGTGAAGTAAACAGGACATCTCTTATCCTTAGCACTCGGGAGTAAATTTCCATCGGGACCCACTGCCACGTAACAGTTTGCATGCATCCTGTGGTGCTTGCTGTCCCACGTGAACACCTTGAAACCAATCACAGCCGTTATTTCCAGACGAAACATCACCGTCCCTCGCCCTCGATCACTCGTGAACTCCATCCAACGGTTGTCATTCACCTTCAACGACGCCCCACTCAAAACCCCATACACAATAGTAGTGTTCTTTGGTTCCTGATAGAACGGATACAACAAGGGGGTCGATCCCACCAGTTGATCCTTGTAGAAAACGCTTCCCTCCATGGAATCGTAGTATATCCCTATGTGCTGGTTGGAGTTTCGCGCCGTGACGTTGAACATTATCTGGGCGTTCTCGAACCCTTGAGGTTGACCCAGACCCGGAACCGAGAACTCCCGGATGTGGAACCGGGGACGGTGTGGGCGCAAACTAAGCCATAAAATGAAAGCAATAATGCCAAGAAGAAATAAGAGAGACAAAAAGATGGCACATATTGTCTTTAAGACCCGGTTCGTGAGGCTCTCCCTGACCCGGTGGGCGTAATAGCTGGCAGAGTGGTGTCGTTGTACGGGTCGGGCTTGCTGGTCGGACCGAACAGGGAGTCGGTTGCGTTCGTACATTTCTTGATGGTCCGGTGTGCAAAATCGAAGTGGCTCAATTTATTCGCAGAAAGATTTTGGGAACAGAAGCGAAGTTGGACGCTTTTTTTATAGGAAGAGGAAAGAAGGTGTTGGTGGAGATTTTTCATTTCCGATTCAGTTCTTCTGCATGAAGAAGAAAAGAATATCAAGAATCACGAACCCATGCACGTAAAGTTGATATACTTTTATTGCTGTAGCACATTATACTTTGTTTCGAGTTGTATACATGGTAATAATTAGAATGATAACGAGTAAATATTATATATACATATATATTACAATGAGCGATGAGTTAATATTATTTTTTAAGCTCGTGAATAAACCACAAAACTATTTTTTGGCGGGTAAAGCTTATAAGAGCTAGAAGATACGTATATATGTTGTAGTTCTTATTTCAAGAAATGATATTCTACATGTTTCCTTTATAAGCTTTCTTGACTTTTTTAAGTGACATCATCTTTGTTGTGGTGTAATTTTGGAGTCTTTCATATATGTATATATATGTGTGTGTTGATGGAAAGCGAATAAGCTTCAAAGGAGGTTCTATGAATGAACTAACTTAGAAAGAGAAAGTTGAGGAGAGAGAGGGCAGCAAAACAGAGCAAGCTTATGCAACTGACTTTGTTTTGCTGTTCTAAAGACGTGTGCTATTTCTAGAGAGAATGAGTAATCTTCTTCTTTATTTCATCATATATATATAGCAATATAAATTTAAACGGATTACATCAACCAATCGATCAAATCAGATCGTCCGAAAATCATGCATACACATCGCATGGGATTTTACGTATCCTTCCGTGAAACATCTTCATGGTAGATTTTCATTTTTTTTTTTTGAATTTAACCTTAACAGAAAAAATTATTAATTTTAACACTCTCCCTTAATGATTTTTTTCACCAATCCCCACATTTTCCCACAAATCCTCAAATTTAGCTTTAGACAGGGCCTTGGTTAGAATGTCCGCAAGCTGATCATCAGTGGAGCAATGTATCAGCTTTATTTCTTGATTCCTTTCAGCCTCACGTATAGCATGATACTTAACGTTGATGTGTTTAGTTCTCCCGTGCATTACTAGATTTTTCGCAATGGCAATTGCAGACTTATTGTCTACATATAACACTGTAGGTGTTTCTTTGTCCAGCTTTAGATCGTTGAATACTTTCCTCAACCAAATTGCTTGGTTAGTTGCTGTAGCTGCGACTACATACTCAGCCTCAGCTGTGGACTGAGCCACAGTATCCTGTTTCTTATATGCCCATGAAAAAACACCGGAGCCTAGTTTGAACAAGTACCCAGTTGTGCTACGTACATCTTCTACACTTCCTGCCCAGTCACTGTCACTGTAGCCAACTACTCCACCTTCAGCTCTTGCTTTGAATTGAACAACAAAATTCCAGGTTCCTTTCAGGTACCTCAGCACATGTTTGGCAGCTTGTAAGTGTGATTCCCTCGGTGAAGCCATGTACATTGAAAGTAAACTCACTGCAAACAAAATGTATGGTCTGGTAGCTGTGAGATACAGAAGGCTCCCAATCAGACTTATGTAATTCCTCTCTTCGACTTTGCTACATTTCTCGTCCTTTGACAATTTCAGGTTGGACACTAGTGGTGTAGATACTGATTTACAGTGATTCATGTTGAATTTATTTAGTATTTCTTTGGCATACTTGCCTTGTGAAAGAAAAATACCCAAGCTGCTTTGTTGAATCTCCATTCCTAGGAAGTAGGTAGCTTCCCCAAGATCAGACATCTCAAATTCATTTTCCAATTTCTGCTTGAACTCTATCATTTTCCTTTTGTTGCTGCCTGTCACCAGTATATCATCAACATATACTGCAGTGATAAGTTGGTTTTCATCTCTATTCATATACAGTGTGTTTTCTGTCATGCTTCTCTCAAACCCACAGTGAAGTAAGTATGTATTTAACTTATCATACCAGACTCGTGGAGCTTGTTTGAGGCCGTATAGGGCCTTGTGAAGAAGATAGACGTGACTCTCCTTTCCAAGTTGAATAAACCCCGGTGGCTGCTCAACATAAATTTCTTCATTTAGTTTACCATTCAAGATAGCCGATTTCACATCCAAGTGCATCACACTCCAACCAAACTGAGCTGCCATGGTCAGAATGAGTCTAATTGTTTCATATCTGGCCACAAGAGCAAAGGTTTCTTTGTAGTCGATTCCTGGAAGCTGGGAGTATCTCTTGGCCACAAGCCGTGCCTTCTGCTTGTTTGTTGTCCCGTCCGGATTGAGTTTCACTTTGAACACCCACTTTACTCCAATTGGTTTTTTGTTTGTACTTAATTTTACCAGAGACCAAGTATTGTTTTTGTCAATTCATCCTTATTTCCTCTTCCATGGCAAGTCTCCACTCTTGCTGCTGAAGTGCTTCCTCAACAGATGAAGCTTCTTTTGAGGCAAAGCTACACCTCTCATAGATGTCAGTTGGACTTTCATTTTTATTCTCTCTTTTGCTTCACCTTCTTCATCACTCTGAGTTGGGTTTGATATTGTCATTGATTTCTTTCATTCTTCAACTGTGACACAGTCTCTTTTGACTTTCAGCTTCTCCCAATTCCAGTAGCTATTTTCATCCACCGTTACATTTCTTTGAATCATAAGCTTGTTGGTTTTTAGGTTTAGAACTTTATATGCTTTTGCTTCAGTACTGTATCCCAAAAATACTCACAACTCAGCCTTCATTTCTAGCTTGGATCTCCTGTCATCCGAGACATGGTAGTAGCACACGGATCCAAACCCATTTAGATACTTAGTTGATGGTTTAATGCCACTCCAAGCCTCCGCCGGTGTCATCTATTTTACAGCCTTTGTAGGCAGCATGTTGAGCAGGAACACAACATTGTTCACTGCCTCAACCCACAAGGCTTTAGGCAGATGCTTGTCAGCAAGCATGCTTTTTGCCATTTCCACAATGGTTCTGTTCTTCCTCTTCGAGACACCATTTTATTGAGGAGAGTATGGTGCCGTGAGCTACCTTTTGATCCCATTCTCAGAACAGAAATCATTGAATTAGCTGGAATTGAATTCAAGCCCATTATCTGTCCTTAGGCACTTCAGTAAACTGCCACTTTCCTTTTCTACAATAGCCTTGAACTTCTTGAATTCACCAAAAATTTGAGCTTTATTCTGCAGGAATCAAACCCAAATTATCCTGAAAAAATCATTTATGAACAAGCCAAAATACCTGCAACTACTCATGGAGTTTTCTGTCATTGGACCACAAATCTCCGAATGAATTAGTGTTAGCTTATCTTTTGCTCTCCAATATGCTTGCAAAGGAAAAGAATTCCTTGCCAATTTCCCCATCTGACATGCACCACATATTGTCTCAGTAACTGCAATATTTGGGAAGTCCTTGGTTAGACCTCCCTTCTGCAGTTGTTGTAGCCCAGCTGCATGAAAATGCCCAAGGCACCTGTACTAAATCTCACCTTCAGTTACAGAGGCAACACTGGCCTTCTCAACTACTTCTCTGAGTTTCAAGGAGTAGACTTGATTCTTTTTTTGGATGGAAGCAATCAAGCGTTCCTCAGGATCATATATCCTGCAGCAGTTATCCTTGAATCCAACCGAGGAGCCTCAATCAGTAATCTGATTCACACTGAGAAAATTCTGTGAGATGGTATGAACAAAATTTACATCAGTGATAAGTTTCCTACCTTCCTTGGTTTCAATGGCTATGTTGTCTTTGCCCTTGATGGTTTCCAGCATACAATTTCCAAGTCGGACCTGGCCTGTGATTGTTCTGTCAAGTGATACGAATAAGCCATCATCCTTGCACATGTGGGAGGTACATCCACTGTCTACCACCCAGAGAGTATCACCCTCCACTGGCAGCTTACTTAGTGCAACGAGAATTGTGTCACTTGGCTCACAGAACACCTTGGT